ATGCCACGGTGCAGCAGAGCTTTTGGTGAAGAACAGATGTTTTCCAACTTGTGGGAAGGTTTTCCTAGTTGGTTTGGGGTTGTTTGGTTTATTTTTAATTGAAAATTTCTCCCCCTCCAATGGTTTTGAGAACTTAAAAATGCTTTTCTGGTCTACAAAATAAACTTCACTTTTGGCAGTGAAGGCAATAAAATGGTATCAGGAATGCAGCTGGCCCATAAAATGTAAAGATGAAAGAAACCTGTAATAGATGTGACATATGGGAGGCTGGGAACAAACTAATAATCCCAAACAATGAAGAAAATTATATTAATTGAAGATCTGACGTGTACTTGCAAATTTGTTTTCCAGCCAATAAGGCTACAAATCTTTTAAATACTCAGGGTGTCTTATCTAAGCCAGGCAGGCCAAGGAACAGTATAAAAAGGGCTCAGAGCTCCAGGCTCCTCATCATCTCTCTTGCCTTCCTCCTCCTGGTGAGCTCGGTAAGCCTTTCTCCTCTGGGTGTCTTTGTGAGGCTTAGAAATGTAGGGTGGAATAATTTCTGTTAGGGTTGTGGCTTCTTTCAAACGTTTCTCTGCACCTTGGAGCTGTGCCTGCTGAGGTGCAGGAACTGGTGGGTTCAGGTTTTAAAGCTGGGGTTGAAGCTTTCCTGGTCCACTTGGTGCCTGGGATATCTGGCTTCAGAATAGATACAAGGAGATCTATATAAACATCTGTATTAATTTAATATAATATATAATTTAAATATAATTTAATAAGGATTATTGCTTATCAGAGCTGCCTCCAGCAGAGTTAGTGAAGGGTTTCCCAACCACCACCCTTGATGGGTTCTTCATTTTAAGGGAGGTCTTCAGGCCTCTTTGGCCAGACAGCAGATGTTCTCCTGGGTGCTGACACTCCACAGTTTCTTGCCTGTGCTGTCAGCAGTTCCAGATGCCAATTAAAAGTGGTGTAAATTACTGAAATGGGGCTTGGAGTGATGGAGCTCAAAGCTGAAGTGTGTTTTCATGGTGAACAGCAGATGCCTTCAATTTTCTGGAGGGATTTGGGCTCTTTGCAAAGCCAGCATTGGGAATGTAGAGCTCTTTGCAAGGCCAGTGTCCTCAAAGAATTTTAGGATGGCTAAATCCTACCAATATTCTCCAAGAAAAATCCTGGAAGAGCAGCAAGGAGGTTTTGAGCTGCCACAGGTACATTCCACAGCTGGTGCTTTCACTAAGTCTCAGTGAGTGAGAAAAGAGAAACGGGAAGAATGATAGAAATGGGGTTTGATGAGGAGCTGAGGACTTGGGTCATCATTTTGCTCCTCTCCTTGGTCTCATGGGGCCAGGGAAGGATCTCGGGGCTCAGTGTCCCCGGAGGAACTGATTTCTTCTGCTTTCCTCCCCTGCTGCTGCGCTCCAGGTTCCTCCAGCACAGAAGATGACTTTCCTCCAAAGCCAGTGTGACGATGACTGCTACTCCCCCTGCAATTACGGGGGTCTCTATAGCTACCGGGGCTACGACTGCGGGAGCCCCTGCGGCTACCGGGGCTACGGGGGCCTCTATGGCTACCGGGGCCTCTACGGCTTCGGGGACCGCTACGGCTACGGGGGCCTGTACGGTTACCGGGGCATCTATGGCTCTGGGGACTGCTATGGCTATGGGGGGCTGTATGGAGGCTATAGGGGCCTCTATGGAGACTGCTGTGGCTACCCAGGCTTTTACTCTGGCCGCTATGGCTCGCGCTACGGCCAAAGGTTTGGCTACGGGGGCTGCTATTCCTGCTAAACCCACTGGAATGTCCCTGGAATGAAGTTCAGCCCAGACCTGGCAAGCACCGACTGACGAGGAAGCTTGGAAGTTGTGCAGAGCCCTGGGGACAGCAGCCACCCCCCAAGGTGGCTCTGGGTGCTCTGCGCTGCTCTCAAAGTGTTTGGGACGTTTGATTTGGATTCTGCTCTGGGTCTGCTTGCTCCTTTGCCATCCCAGCTGTCCTCTGGATGGAAAGCTTCCTGCTCCTTGACCCTGCAGCTCTTTGTAAACTGGCTTTTTCTGTTGGGTGTGATGATGTACAAAACATTTCCTGGGAATGAAGGGTAGAGGTAGGAGGGCGTGACGTGCCTTTGGGAATGGAGACTCAGTTCTGTCTGTCTTTATATCTGCCTTTGACTCGTATTAAAAACAACACTGCATCAATATTGCCTTTCTCATTTTATTTTTCACTTGCATTTCTTCAAATCTCTTGAAACCAACAGATTGGGGGACAAAATTATTAACTTTTTGTACTTAGGGGTTTGCTCGTCGAGTCTTGTCCTCCCCAAGCTGAGAAGTAGGAACTTTTGTAGCTGCAGGAAACTTCAGCTCTGGTTGGGTGTGTTTTTACAACTCCAGGCTTTTGTTTGGTGTATTCCAGAGAAATGGTTTATTTCAAATATTTCAGGGCTACTGTTGGGCTAACGTGATGGGATCAGGACATGATCCACCACTGGTCATGGTCTGATATTGGAGAGGTTCTAGGTGACTGCAGATGTGTGGACCCATCAGGTTTTTCATTTTGAAATAAGTTTGTGTTTTATATGATTATCACAGAATCATTATCAACAGCTGGAGTTGGAAGGAACCTGGAAAGTTCATGGTTGAAATATTAGAAATTCCCTGATGGAGAAGGGGGAGGAGCTTGATAGAGTTGGGTTATGGTTGGACTCAATGATCTTAAAGGTCTTTTCCACCCAGAAGTATTCTGTGAATTTTCCCTTTGCAGTGTAAATAATTTGGAAGGGGGGGTGCTGGTGGACAGCAGGTTAACATGAGTCAACAGTGTGCCCAGGTGGCCAAGAAGGCCACCAGCATCCTGGCCTGCATCAGGAATGGTGTGACCAGGAAGAGTAGGGAGGTGACTGTGCCCCTGCACTTGGTACTGGTGAGGCTGCATCTCAAATCCTGGGGTCAGTTCTGAGCCCCATGAAGGACATAAAGGTGCTTGAGTGTGGCCAGAGAAGAGCCACCAAGCTGGTGAAGGGTCTAGAGAACAAGTCCTACCAGGAGCAGCTGAGGGAAATGGGGATGGTCAGTTTGGAGAAGAGGAGGCTGAGGGGAGACCTTATTGCCTCCTTCAGCTACCTGAAAGGAGGTTGTAGGGAGGTGAGTGTTGGCCTTTTCTGCCCAGTGGATGGTGACAGGACCAGAGGAAATGGCCTGAAGTTGCATCAGGGAAGGTTCAGACTGGATGTTAGGAAGAATTTCTTCACTGAAAGTGTGATCAGAGACTTGGAACAGCTGCCCAGGGAGGTGGTGGAGTCGCCATCCTTGGATGTGTTCAAGAAACATGTAGATCAAGAACTTCAGGGCATGTGCTAGTGGCTGAGACTGTGGGTTGTGGGGGTTTTGGGTGATGTGGCTTTTTTTGTTTGTTTGTTTGGTTAGGTTTGGTGTTTTTTGGTTTGGTGGTTGTTGGGGTTTTTTTTATGATTGGACTTGGTGATCTCAGGGGTCCTTTCCAACCATCACAATTCTGTGATCTGTGATTTGTATATTTCTTTTCCATTTTAAGACATGATTATAAAGACTGTTACGCCCTATTAGGCTCAAGTCTGTTCACCTTAATTCTGCTAACAGTTTTTGTTAAAAGGGAGGAATTGTGGCATTTCTCAAATTTCTGGGAGGTAGAATGGAAGAGAAAAAGTGTATTTACTGGGACCAGCTGCTCTGCCTGTGGAGGGATCTGAAATGGGATGCAAAGTCCCTTCAGGATGTCACCCCTCCTAGTGTAAACTAAAGAGAGAGGGAAGAAGATAAGTGGGGAAAAAAGACCCTCTACATTTTCATTATTTTTTTTCATGCAGAAATGTTTAATGCAGTAAGAAAAGGAGTTGGCACAGACACAGAAAGATTATGGTTTGGGGAAAATTGAAAGAGTTACAGAAGATGAGTCATTGCAGTCTGCTGGAGAGGACATTCCTTGTTGAAGCTGTTGTTCATCCTTCAGGTGCTTGTAAATCCAGATCAAAGCAGAGCCAGTGTCACACTCCTCTATTACACAGGACTGCAGCACCTGACTGGAAGCAGTTATTGAAAATGCAGGTGACCTGAAAACCAATTTTGCTGGAGTCTTTCAACAGGAGGCAGCAACTCTAAGAAGCTCTAAATGAACTGCAGGTGGTTGGTCCAGTTGCTGAGTGGGTGTGAAGGGGGTTTGAGCACAAGAAAGTATCAATGTGAGATCTCATGGTGGAGAGAGACAGGAAGAAGCAGATAGAATGAAGAACAAGAGATTTGAGAGAACAACCAAGCTCCTGGTTCTCAGTGACTTCAGTTGCTGTTGGGACTCAGAGCTTCTGCAGATGTTGCCTCTGGGATGGACTGTTCACCTTTGCTTGCTGGGTTGGGGTTAGTTCTTGTGGCAGGAGGGTGTCAAAACAGGACTCATGGTTGAGAGGGCCAGGAAGAAGAAGACAGAAAGAAGAACAAAAATGCAAATACCAAGAGATCTGAGGGAGCAGCTGAACTCCTGGATCTCAGGAGCTTCGGTTGCTGTTGGGGCTCAGACCTTCTGTAGACGTTGCCTTTGGGATGAGTCGTTCATCTTTGCTTGCCAGGTCGGGGTTGGTCCTTGTTGCAGGGGTGTTGCCCCTGGGTTTAGCAGCAGGGGTAGCAGCACCTGTAGCTGTAGTTGCAGCAGGAGGGGTATTTGTAGCTGTACCTGCGGCGGTAGCTGCACTGGCGCCGGTAGAGGCGGGGGTAGTAACACACGGTCCTGTAGCAGGGGGAGCAGCAGGTCCTGTAGCAGGGGGAGCAGCAGGTGTTGTAGCAGTAGTAACGGGACATCTTGGGGGGGTGGAGAGAGGTGGGGGAACCTGGAACAAAGTGGCATGGAAAGGTGGGCTCGAAGGGAGCAGTAGTAGACGTGGCTTGGGGGCATGAGTGGGGAGGGGGGGTTGGTAAGAAATGTTGAGCAAATCCCTCAATCTCTCGGTGTGATCTTGGCTGCCATTCTACCCAGCCCCTTTCTGTGCCCCCTCCCTGTTGAATTCAGCCATGAGGCACCATGTCTAGTCTTTAATTTTCCTTAAAAACTAACATAATACCCCGTGTTTTTGGACTCTGGGTACAGGAGTTTCAGCTTGCAGATCATAATTGAGTCGTCACAGAATGGTTTGAGGTTGGAGGGATCTTAAAGATCATCTAGTTTCAACCCCCCTGCATGGGCAGGGACACCTCCTACTAGTCCAGGTTGCTCAAAGTCCTGTCCAACCTGCTCTTTGAACATACAAATATCCCAGTTCTTGAGCATTTGGTGCCCAAGTTCTCTGCATGAACCCAAAACTTCATACCAGACTTCACATCTTACCAACAATATCTTGAGGTTCATTAATCAGTGCCACCCTCCCCCCCCCCCCCCCTTTTTTTTTTTTTTTCTGCTAAACAGATTAAAAACATACAAGAGAAAATAATTCCACCATTGCTATGGATCAGGAAATGCCTGTGGAGGATTTATTCCCAAGTTCATAGAATCACAGAATGGTGAAGGTTGGAGAGGACCTTAAAGATCATCAGTTTCCAACCTCCCTGCCATGATCAGGGACACTTCCCACCAGCCCAGGCTGCACAAGCCTCATCCAACCTGTCCTTAAACATCTCCAGAGAGGGAGCAGCCACGACCTCCCTGGGCAACCTATTCCAGTGCCCTCCCACCCTTATGGTGAAGAATTTCTTTCTGGTGTCTAACACAAATCTCTCCACTCTCACAGAATGGTAGGGGTTGGAAGGGACCTCTAGTTCAGCCCCCTCCCAGAGCAGGATCACCACACAGAATGACATCCAGCAGGTTTTGAAAGTCTCCAGAGAAGGAAACTCCACAACCTCTCTGGGCAGCCTGTCCCAGGGCTCTGTCACCCTTACAGCAAAGAAGTTTCTCCTCATGTTGAGGTGGAACTTCCAATGTTCTAGCTTATACCCATTGGTCCTTGTCCTATTACTGGGCACCACCAAGAAGAGACAGGCCCCTTCCTCTTGCCACCCACCCCTCAGATATTTATAGACATGAATAAGTTCCCCTCTCAGCCTTCTCTTCTCAAGACTAAACAGTCCCAGTCCTCTCAGCCTTTCTTCACAGGAGAGAATCTCTGGAGAGATAATCTCTGGAGAACATGGTCTAAACTTACCAAGTTCAAGGAGGAGAGTAAATCCAGAGGGTGCTGTGAGGAGTGTGAGGTTCTGAGCACTTTTATACTGTTCTGAGACCTGTGGAACTCGGTGCAGCTCTTCCTGTGCCTGGAAGTACATCAGCAGGCCAATTGCAATAATTATTTTCCTCCACATATAGGACAATTTTCAAATTCCTCTGGTAGCACATTGTGATTACATCCTGCGAGCTTCTTTCATCTCAAAACCTTCCAGGACAAATGGGTTGCTGGGGATTCACCCCAAGGGCAGGTGGGAATGAAACCAGAGGATACAAGAACAGCTCCAGCTCCACTGCCTGCCTGGCTGAGGAGGCCACTGACTGTTTCTTTATGTGATGTCCCTACAAGAAAGGTGGATTCTGCACATTGTGGGCTGACGTGAAATACCTGAGGAGGAAAGAGGCCTCCTAGCAAGTGCTTAGGGCTTTGACCAAACATTTTGATTCATTTCCGTGGCAATTAATGACAGACGTTCCATTGATTCCTTGAAGTTCTTCTTCTGCCTATAATTTGGCCTAGACACTTGGAGGAGTTCAGGCCCAGGATCAATTAAAGGAGCATCTGAGCAATGTGTCCAAGACTGACAGTCTGTTGGGTGTTTGTTTT